ATGTCTCATGTGTGTGGCAAATGAAATGATATGACTTTTGAGAATATATTATTCAATTATTTTGAATGAAAGGGTATGACTTTTGGGAAGGAGTTATTATGTTTTAATGAAGGGGTATATTGTTTAATGGAAACAATATATATATAATGGAAGGACATGAATAGTCTCTATCTCTGCCTATGAAAGTTTGTCTCTTAAAATTACCATCCAGAAATAAAGAGTACAAAGAAAAGATAAAGAGAAAGAGATAGAAAATATTCTTCTTACAAATTCTACAAGATTCAAAGTCATCAATCTCATCATGGATTAAAGTTAGTGTTTCTATCTAATCTTATATGTGAAAACTATGAATTCTAAGATCTTATTTGATCATTCAAATATTATGTGAAATTTACATGTGGTATCAGAGCTTGTGTTTGAGAATTTATACTTTTCCATCAATAGTAATTTTAATAATTGCATGAATGTTTTCCATCAAGAATTTGAGAAATAATATTTTACGCTGCATTATTGAATTGATGGTTTGTATATGAATTGAGAAAATGAAACATTTTTCTGAACTTGTTTTAAAATCAAATTTTTCTGGAAAATGTTTTAAAATCACGGGACCATTATCTTTTCCACTACGTACGGATTGTTTTCAATCTGAAATCATAAAAGCTTTAAAATAATATAAAGAATTGAATGCTTGAAGGGAGAATCAATTGCTTGGTTTCCCACATGCAAAAAAAAAAAGGACTTGACCTGGATATAAACCGTAAAATAAAAAGAAAAATTGTAGTATCCAAAACAAAGCATGATTTTTTGATGCGATATCTGACTCAGGGGTGAACACCCCTTTTATGCCCATCGCCTGTGTTGAACAAGATAAATTACATTACAAATGGATCTTTTGAGTAGCAACCACGTGTTGACACCCTTAGAGCATCTACAATGGGAGTTGCTTATAAGCAACTCCCAACCACTTTAAATAGGTCCTACTGTGTCACGTCATTTATAAGCAATTCATATTATATTTTTACAATTTTTGCTTCAATAAGAATTGCTTATAAGCACCCTAACTTTTCTACAACTTATACTACATTTTTTAACACCTCATATTATTATAATAATTTATATAGAGAAAAGTAAAGAAAAAAAAATAGAAAGTACATATGAAGCAGGCAAGCACCGTTACTTCTGCAAGACACGGAGCTTAAAAAAAAGTTTCCTTCCTGTACCACGTAAGCTACTCCAATGGTCATTCCTTATTAGAAACGGAGCTTATAAATAAGAAACTGAATAAGAACCCTCCGCTGGAGGTGCTCTTATTGGGGGATGAACTACTAGTCAGCGAGATTTGTGCATTAGGCCCAATTAGACCCAGAGGCAAGCAACGCCTTGCCAATTTTCAGATCCTAACTAATTGTCTTATTTAGTAAATTTTATCTTCTCAACCATGTTTTGTCAATCAACAAAATTCGAACTTCAAACATTATTTAAGATGGCTGGATCCTTTTTAAGTTATTTAAAAGGGAAAATTGATATTATATAATTTCTTTATCTTTTTCTCATGGAAGAAAAATATTTGAAATAAATGTACTTCATAAATAAAAATTTGGGATAATTCAGTATCTAAACCCGAATTACATATTGGAGTCTCAGCCAACAAGGCATCCATCTACATTCACAATATCCTTCAATCATGGCTATTGTGATTCATCTTTGTTTTTGTTTCTCCCACATAATAATCTTTCACCTTGTATATTCGTTAGCTCAATCTGATAATTATATCATCCACATGGACACGTTAGCCATGCCTAAAGCATTCTCCACCCAACACGGTTGGTATCTCTCTACACTTTCCTCTGCATTAGAAAATGCCCAAGTTCTTACCTCCAATGACAATAATAATCTCGAAATCGCTTCTTCTAAGTTGATTTATACCTACACATACGCCATGAGCGGTTTTAGTGCAAATTTGTCACCCAAAGAGCTTGAAGCTCTCAAAAGCTCCACAGGTTACATTTCTTCCATACCAGATCTTCCAGCTAAGCTTGACACAACTCATTCACCACAATTTCTCGACCTTAATCCCAACACGGGGGCATGGCCTATTGGGAAATTTGGCGAAGATATCATTGTTGGGTTGGTGGATACGGGAATTTGGCCAGAAAGTGAAAGCTTCAAAGATGAGGGGATGACTAAAATCCCTTCACGATGGAAAGGGCAATGTGAAGATAGCATCAAATGTAACAACAAACTCATTGGAGCTCGTTTCTTTCACAAAGGAGTGCTTGCTAAATACCCCTATCTTGCCAGAAATGAGAACTCAACTCGGGACACACAAGGACATGGGACCCACACATCAAGCACAGTGGCTGGGAGCCAAGTTGACAACGCATCGTTCTTTGGCTATGCCAATGGATCAGCGAGAGGAATAGCTCCACGTGCGAGAGTAGCCATGTACAAGGCCTTGTGGGAAGATAGAACCATGTCATCTGATATAATAGCCGCTATTGATAGTGCAATATCAGATGGGGTGGATGTTCTTTCCTTGTCACTTGGACTTGATGATGTGCCCTTGTACAATGACCCTATTGCTATAACCACATTTTCTGCCATGGAGAGAGGCATTTTTGTGTCCACATCAGCAGGAAATGATGGGCCTTGTCATGATGACTTAACTTATTCTATTTTCTTATTCTGTTTTCTATTTGTATTTTTTAATTCAGTTAGGAGGTTAGGAGGTTAGTTAGTCATAGTTTGTTTTCTGTTGTATTGCTGTAACTATATATACTTGTAGTTGATCATTGTTAAATAGGGTTTTTCAATATATTTCTGATTTCACATTCTTCTTCTTCTCCTTCTTCAAGAAAGTTTCTTTCATGATATTTTCATGGTGATTTCTTTATCAAAATTGTAATATGGTATCAGCCTGTGCCAGGGCTCTGTGTTTTTTTTT